GCAAATTATGATATCATGCCCCAGAGCATGCTGACTCAATGAATAAGATATTTGCATATAACCTCGTATTTTCCCATGCAATTGGAACGCGGCACTGCAGCGTGAAAATATTTGTGCAGGCCAAACCCCCCTCCCCGCTTTCTAACACTTTTAAAATAGTTTTGCAAGTTTCCATTGCGACATGCAATTGGAATTTAATTGAATTGGAAGTGTAATGGCTTCAGTTTGGGTCTCAATTAATTATTTAGTGCGCTAATTGCCGTTATCCGAAAACAGAGTTAAATAGACGGCGCCGACAATTGAGACATCAGTTGCGCAGGCGCAGTGTGGGCCCACCATAAACGTATGATAACCTGGGACTTTACAAATTTGGAGCCAGGGAATCGAAGTCAGGGGAGGCCAGTGGCGCTGACACGACCCAGAGTCTTGAGGAATGGACAAAGTCAAGTCACGCATTGCAGACATTTCCTCAAAACTTGATTTCCAATTCAATGGCAGCAAATGCAATTCTCGAAACCGGCCCCCAAGAGCGCCAGCTAGAGCTCCACAAAAGGAGATACGTAGATACATTTGTAGCTACAAGTTGGCTTTGACGATGGCCTGTCATTCAAGCGGCAGATACTCGTAAACAGGAAAACATTTCCTCGAATGCAGCATTAACTTGAACATGTTCTCGGTTCTTGGTTTACAACATTTCCTTTGTCTGTTTTTCGACGCCGAAAAGAGACATAGCAAATCCCTTTTTATTTGGCGTGGGCTGTTCTCGACTCGACAATGGCGCCGTCTGACATTGAAATTTTGCGTTATTTAACTGCCTTACTTATTGGTAATGTTGGCAGGACCCAACTCTCAGTCTTGGTCGCCAAAAATCAACAAAAGAGCAAACAAAAGTTTGGCCTAGTTTCGTTGGTCCGCCAAAATAGTGGTGCGTCATAAATAAAAACAAACCGAGCCGCTACTGTAAATGCTTTCGGGTCCAAGACAGTTGCCGAAATAGCCTCACAAGTATCTTGCTCTCTGTGCATATATATATATTTAGAGGTATATTTCTTTGAGACAGCCTGAAGGAGGCGTCGACGCCTCTGAGTCATCCGAATCTTGCAAAAGCTTTGACATACATAAAGAAAAACTGTTTGGGGTATGTATGAAGAGTCTAGACAACTAAATAAAGTGCACGACAACTACAAAGGATCGATCGTTTGGAAAAAACCTATTTATTATTTATTTTTACCTTACTTTTGTTGTGCAACAACAAACACAGTTACGGGAAAAAACAAAGAAGTTCAAAATAAATTTGAAAAATGTCGTCGTTCTTTGGATTTTTGCCAAAGACCGACGACACTTTAGAATCTAAATAAATTAAAGATCAAAATCTATTTTGTATATTCCCTTCATGTGGCTGATGCTCAATTAACATTTGGAAATATGTTTATTTCTTCGAATGTATTGGTATTATTTAAAGGAATATGTTTGCTTAAGGCCACACAATTTTAAATATTTATTTGCTCCAGTTTGGTGACAAATTTCCCCCTAAAAACCAATTTCACCAACCAAAACAATTAACGATCCAAAGAAAACAATCGACATTTTGATGTTTACTTCCGTTCCTTCTCTCTTTTTACTTATATTATTTTTTATTTATGTTTTCCAGATTATTTTGGTCACTAGGATTTCGTTTATTTGCCCACATGCCTGGTCGTTTAAATAAAAAAACAGAACACATTGAATGTATCCCCAACACATGTGCGGATGGATAGGCTCAAAATGTCGACAATATAACCCACAACATAATATACATATGGACAATTTAAAATTCTGAAAAATCAGCACAGAATTTGAGTTTAGCTAACATAATTTCGATGCGAGGGCAAATAAACTGACAGGCCAGCAGAGAGATCAGCGGAAGATCATGATGAGGTTATCGCTGATGACGCCAAAATGATGTCATATTCGACGGACACACTCGAATGCCTTATATCTAAAGCTTGTTTCGGGTTTTGTGTTTCAAATTAAACCCATACCAATAAATGTAGGTACCGCCTATATATATTTATGTGCCTTTTATCCCGGCCCCTCTGGCCCATTGATTGTGGCTTTTTGTATTGGTATAGCTCCATTGTTTGCCATTAGAATGTCTTGTCTGCCGGTTTTAAGCTCTAAAGTTGTTTGTCGGGTTTTTGTCTGCAAAGATCGGCACACTACCTCATCGACTGTGTTGCCTTCTGCAAAATTCAAGTTCAAGCAACAGACGACGCGGATGTATTTTGTTGTATTTTACCTTTTGTGTGTATTGAAAACAACAAAAACTCGCACGGAAAGTAAGGCAGAAAAACAATAGCAAGGTGGAGATATCTTGAAGTTTCTACGCTTTCTTAGAAACAGGGTGGTTGTCTAATGCTTTCTATAAGGGTGTTTCCCGACACTTTCCACCTTTCGGGGTGGTTTCCTGCCATTTCTAACAGCGCTTCTTGGCCTTCTTCTTTTGCTTGGATTTCATTTTTGGCTTGATTGACGGCAACGCCTGGCGTGTTTTAATGCCTATTTCCTTCTTTTATTGCAAAGGGGTGGTTGTTATTATTTACGTTTTACGTACCGGCATTTGTTCCACCCTATTGGCATTTTTTCGAAATCCCACACACATAACTTACTTTTTTGTCTACTTTATGGTAACTTAGGGTGATGATAAATTGCTTAATTCATTGATAGATCATGAAATATGTAAGAATATCTGGGTCAATGGTGTACAGAGGGGTGTCAGGATTTCCATACATTAAAAAAAGAAAAAAAAAAACAAAATTAAACTTATGCTGCCCTCTCATATTTCATTCTTAGGATATTTTTTCAGCTAGTTAAAAATTCTATATAAAGGGCTAGGGCATGATTTTGAAATTTGATAAGCTGCTTAAAAATAAATAACTTTGATGTATGTATACGTACACAATCGTTTTAAATATTTATTTTGAAATTCAACTACACAATATTTGGAGGAAATATTGCCTAGCCTTTTAAATTCGACAATGGAATGCCATTTAAATGATCTGAATGCAATTAAAAAACAATAATGTAACTTATTTTTTAAAGCCCCTTAAACAACAGCGCAAATTTGAATCAACTAATAGTGAACAGTGAAGTCCACATTAATAAATACAAAACACCTAAAAGTTAAATAAAAGCTATTTGAACTAATTTAATTAATGAATTAATTAAATAATGACTTTTTTAAATGACCATTTTGGGAAATACCTTCCCAATGACTTTGTCGCTGAAGTCATAAACCTATTTATCAACTATTAGGTCATTCCCATAAAAGGAAAACTCTAAAGGGGCCCGTCTGCCACTGGCAGAAGGCATAAATGGGCTGAAAACGGGTGCAAATGTGGTTCGCTAAAAAGGAAACGCAACAGTTGCAACATGGTAAGTAGAACCGATTGCCGACGTCATGGGTGGAAAATAAAAATGTCAATAAAAATTACAGCAAATTGCCGGCTGCCCCGCCCCCTTCCCAGTGTTTGGCATTAGGGGGCGGCAAATAGTAACACGCAGGGCTTATGGTTGTGGGACCTTTTATGTAGTTACCAAGGTTACTATCCCATCCCTAGTGTCCTGGCGTCAATTGAGCGCTCGGCTGATTAAATTACCCGAGTGCACGAGTGTGGGTAAAGGACAAAAGGAGAATGGAGAAGGGGATTGCATAGTGCATTAAGCAATTGTCCTTTTTATTTATGCCATGGCCATGTCGCCAGGCAGTCTCCGCGTCAGTGAGTCGCCGCGAAAATTGCACTTTTCAGTGCGTCAACCCAAAAACTTTGCCCCTACAATTTCATTGATTTTCTCTTCCTTGAACTGATGATTTCATTTTCAGACCCAAACACACAAGAATCACGAGAATCCTTCAAAGCGAATGCAACACGTGACCGAAGGCAAACGAAGTCCTACTTTGAGTTCAGTAAGTCACATCATTTTCGCTTTTAACTTCGCCTTTTGGCTGCCACCGATGACCGCAGAAGCCACCAAACCAGATGACATCACAGTTTTGTGAGTGGGTTTGATTGTGTGTCAGTGTGTTTTGTTTGTGAAATGATTGATGACTAAGCTTTAAAAAGGACATAATGTAGGGCTTAAAAAGGATATTACAAAAAAGATATATCAGGAATTACATAAGACTTAAGACTTTTAAAAAGTATAATAGTATAAAGATCATAATAATATTCTTCAGAATATATAAAGTTTAATATATAAAGTTTAATTTTAATAAAATTTAAAATCATTGTTCTGTTCTCAGAAATAATGTTGCTTGACAAATCGAAGACAAATTTTAAGAATCGAAGTTTTTGTAATCTATTTATCATTACAGTAAACTCTTATACTGATAAGATTTTATTAATTGCCAATTAAATTCTGCAATTTGTGATATTTATATTCTTTTACCAACTATATCCATATTTATTTTCATTTTTAAAACTAAAATGTACATGCCAATTTACATTTTATTGTCCACAATTCCATTACAATATGCAAATAAAATCAATATTATATGTATTTAATTTGCCTTGTTGCCTTAAGTTTTTCCGAATATCGCTTAATAATGTTTCCGTTCTTGTGGCAATTGCTTGGGCTAATTATTCAGTTAATCAACAATTCGAAGCTTCTTATTTATTAGGGGTTCATTATTTGCTATTTATACGTTCTCCATTAACATAAAGCACACACCACCAATCACACATATAGAGTAAGAACACGAGCACTTGTTCGTATCTGGCCAAATGTCGCCAGAGAATTCGAAATCGTATTTGATTGTATTTTTATTTCTCTCTTTTTTTCAAATTAAATGAAAATATTTTAAATTCAACACTGGCTGGCACAAGAATAACAGCGACACTGCCGAACTAAACGCGCAGCAATTTCTAAATACGAGTTTGTGACTACAAAAATAAGTTTTTCAAAAACAGCAACCAAAGGAAACACTATTACTATGTATAAGAAGCCAAAAGGAAACACACCGAAAGGCGCGAGTCGCGCGGCTGCTTCAAATAAAAACGACTTTGTTTTTATTTTATTTTTTGGCGGCAGCTGCCAGAAGACAAAAGAAGCTCCGGCGTGGGTGACTTCGATTCACGAATTTCGATTTTATTCCGTCTGGCAATCCGCGTGCGCGTCCAAACGCCTCGCCGTTCAAAAGAAAACTAAACCCAGTGGTCGGGAAACCAGAGAATATTCAGCCAGCTGTTCCGGTCCGCCGGCTTTCCTATTCGCGGGGACGCGACTGTGACTTAAGAGCCGGTTGAAAAATAGCGTTGCATACTTTTGGCTGCCGGCGCAAATGGTTAGCCCTCTATTTATGCCACGGTTTTTGTTCCTAGCCACTTTGGCTTTTGCCAAGATTTTCCCGGCTAACGAAATGTTTTCTGTTTTTTCGGCTGTCTGGAATTTTCAACCCTTAGCCAAAGGACACAGTGCATACATTTGCACGGAAACACCCCCACAAAGGGATTTCCTCGGGAATACAATACAGATAGACACACGTGCAGTGTTGCTGAGGGTGTTTTGTCTGGCTGATATGCATATGGACAGACCATTTCCTTAATGAACTAGAAAATATTGACCTAATATGCATAACTAAAAGGTCTTTAATAAGTTGTCAGCATGGGGAAGGAACGTTAAATAAATACAAATATTATATCCATGATTGTTTTGGTAGATTTTATTTGACTTTTACCACCCGTTAAATTTGACAGTTAAGATTTATTTATAATGCAGTATACTTTTTCTACGACCAGTTTTTTCCCACGGCAGACAAAAATTGTTGTAACTTTTAACGTTTTATTATTATTTATATTGTTTTATATATCTAACAAAGTTCTACTTAAGCTAATTTTATTTTAAATAAGTAAAAAACAACCGTTTTATAAATATAGTTTGTTAAGAAATTGGATAACAAATCTTTTATTTAAAATGTAATTTGCATCAGTAGTGCTGAATAACACCTCCACTTTTTCTTCCACCAATTCGAATTCTTATTTGTAGTCTTTTACGGTATATTGCTTAATAATTAATAGTTTAAATAATGATAATCCTTTCTGTCCTGCCCTAACCTCCCCCAAATGGTAATTACTTAATTCACAAGCCAGGTGCAACCACCTTGAATAACCAAACAAACTTTTCTTCACAATCTCCCGAAACAGCTGCAATTGTTTTAGTACCTCAATAGGGCTTTCTACTATGGGAAGGAGGACTTCCATATATCTAGAAACAGTTGCTTACCCACAGCTGCTTTCGCCGGGCCCCAGAGTGCCAATTAAATTTAATTTAAGGCGACATTTGCCGTCAGCCACTCTCAGTTGCATTTGTCTTGGGCCACAAGAGTGATGATGATGGCGCTCACAAACGAGCCCAAATCGCCGCAGATAGCGATCGGATGTGCCACATCGATAGGGCTATTTTCGATGGCACCGATTAGCCTATTAGCCGAGTGAAATCTTTTAACTTTAACCCTTTGCAGGGCGCGTGTCTGGGAATGGGGCTCGGAATGGGATTGGAATTGGAATTGGTCGCTGCTCTGCTCTCCGTGCTGTCTATTTTTGGTTGGTGCCCGCTCGTACACTCGCGAAAAGCTAAAGACATCGGGTCGATCGGACGATGGGATCTACACTCCGGCGTAGCACAGATCCCGCCGCTCTTTCTTTTCAGTAGAAATCTGTTGGCCGCGCAAATCGCACGGATGCGGGCGGGCTAAAATCCATGATATACCGAATCAGATCAGCCAGAGAACAATAGAAAAGGTAGAGAAGACATTTACCAACAGATCGGATAAGCGGACTGAAAAATACGCAAAATTGATGGTTAAAATAAATAAATAAATGAGTTTTCGGTCCGCGTCGAAAGTGCAGTGCGCGTTTCACAGCCGGATCGCGATTCCCGTATCCATAATAAAAATGCCCAAAAGCATAAGACACAAATCCGCAACATTATTTCGAAAATAACCTGCAGCAACGGCAAAAAGCAACATCAGCAGCGGAAAACTCATTAATTTTCCAAATACCCCCCAAAAAACAAATGAACGTATCTCACGGATGCGAAATTCGGTGTGCGGCTGTAATTTTAAACGCATTTCTTGCGCTTGTTTTGACATTGAAATGAAACAACAATAACAATCGGATAATTAAAACGGAGAAAACACACGCCAACGGGTATACACCTGCTGTCTGAACAGAGAATCCACCTATCTGCTGGGTAAAACAAAATAAATCAGGGAATTTGGAGAGCTCAGGGAAATCGAGAAGATGACCACGCGTATTCGGCGCAAGAAGTCCACGCTGACGGAGTTGAAGATAGCCGTGATCGGGGCACCCAGTGTTGGCAAGAGCGGTAAGATTCGAAATACCATGCCGAGTGATTCCACAGCAACAGCAACAGCAACACCAAAACAATCCGAGCAATAGCAGACGTATCCGATAGATACTTGTAGCATGGATGCCGAGCAACAACAGCAAATTAGTTGAGCAATCGCCGATTCGTGTATATTTAGACTTTTGTTTGTTTTGTTTATAAAGTGGCAGCATACATAGACAGATGCAGATACATACACACTTACACACTCTTGCAGCCGGGAGTATCTGTGTGTGTGTGGCGGCTGCTGGCACTTTGGCATTGCCTGCCGCTTTAATCGCTTTCCACCGTTTGATTTGACAAGCGGCTCTGGCCAAAAGACCAGGCCATACTCTAATTTATGACGACCCATGAGCACATAGCATAGTACACTGACAAAAAAAGTATTTTTTATGTAAAGAAAATAAAACAGAAAATTTTTGAGTTATTCCACCATGTTTTATTGTTTTCCAGACCTTTTAAGTTTTCCATTTTTAACACCAATTATTTTCAATCTATAAAAATTTACATTCTCAAAACGCTATTTATAAAAATATAAGCTTATTAAAATTTCTCAATAAAAATAAACAAAATAATAACAGTTCTTAGGACTTTAAGTTGAGCTAAAAAAAAAACAAATTAGCAAATTGTGGGCGACAGTGCATTGAGTTTCTTACTACACTGACAATTAATTTTATTTGCGACCTATTTAAGAACACATCTACAATTTGTTCACATTTTTGGGATTATCCCAAACTTTTAAATGAGAGGATCTCAGCACAAATGTTTATGAATCTTTAAAATAAAATAAACAGATTTTGGTTTTTATAGTGTATAGGCTTAAGAGATCACAGATCATTGCAGCCGAGACGTTGCATATTTCTTCGATGCGAACGACTTACCATAAATTGATGTTCCCTGGCGGCCATCACGTATGCCTTCACCGAAAAATATTTAATTTGTAACATTTGTTGGGTTCCATCTATAAGACGACGCTAATGATGATGATGGCTTTAGCAGGAAAATTTATTCCGCGGCTGTCAACTTCATGATACCCCTGCATATGTCCCTAAAGTCAAATATTTAAGCTTTCTACTCACAAAAAAAGGATGAACTTATAAGTAAAACAAATAGGTATATTCTTGATACGTGTAAAGCGGAAATGCCTTGACTCAATTAACAGGAGTAAATAACTTTAAGCTGTTCAATACGATTCATCTCGGGGTCCTGAGTCTTCAGTATGTGATGATTGAATCGTATGAACATGAATTTTTTGGGTTCCTTAACAAATGAATCCAAAAGTAGTCATCCAGAGTTTTAAGTTCTAAGTTAGGATGGCTGGACTTTGCTGATATACAGCGGTAAATATCTGAATTCCACGGTCGTTGCTATTTTTTGGAGACGTCTGTCGGTATCCCAATATTAAATGAATTTTTTTAGAGTCCCCAAGTTTTAATTCGTCATTACTGTGGGATTTTTGTAAGTCCTCCAACACTCCAAACGCCTCCACAAACTTCAACTCGTATTTGACCAACTGGTCTCCTAGGAGCTCATTCATAAGATCTATTTGCCCATCCTTCAGAACCGCTGCTTTTTCAAAACATTTATGATGATAGTTTGAAGTGAGAGTTTTTAGAAATGCTTTACACTCTGCTGATCCACACATCTCAATTTTAAAACAATTTAGTCTAGAAATATTGGCCAGTTTCTGGTCAACTAGTCCACCGTTAATGGCCTTTACGAATTCCTGCACGACCTCCAGTGGAGTGTGTAGATCTAGAGAAGACGATGATGTTCCAATATCGCTCATTTTGTTTAATATTTTCAGCTATCAGTTGTTAAGGAAGCGATTTACTTTTGATGTTCTGCCTAGAAAGCGGACTGAAAGACAACTGCGATTTAAAATTTTGTATTTTGTTGGGTGAATAAAAAACACACACCTGTTTCTTTACTTTAAATTGTTTCACTCAGTACCTTATATAGTTTAGCACTGTTGTGGCAAAATTGTTATATTATTTGAAAGGTAAAAAAAACATCTTTTATTGACAATTCGGAAATATACGAGTAAATAATTGGAGAGTGGAATCCGGAATATGCATGATAAAAAAACAGAACAAAATGGCGACTACAACACAATTTTTTATTGATTAATATTCAAAAACAAGTAATTCCAAACACTTTCTCATTTTTCTAAGATCAAATTTAACAAATTCCGAATAAGGAGTATTTGAAGCATGGAATATAAATTTTTAACAGTTATAAATAAACAGACTTTATAAAACACAAAACATATTTGTCGAAAGTACAACAGGTACAAATAGTTGCGAATAGCCCGGAATTTATTTATGGTAGTTTTCTTGTGGTCCACCAAACGCCAATGCCAAATTGTGCTACCGAAACTTTGAAATACTTTTTAAGATCCTGAAAATTGGGTACCCAGAACTGCAAGAATTGATTAAGAATCCTCTTCTGTGTCGTTACCATTCGGTGGATTATAGGGCAAGGATGACATGTTCACGCTGATGGGATAATACTTTTCATATACTGCCAGGTAGATCTCGATGCCTTGACTGTGGTGTCGATAGCCCAAAGTCAAGTGAATTGCAGCAGAGTGTCCTATACCAAAAGTGTAACCTGATTCGCTATCCCTCAAACGCTTCAGCGTGCCAGTGGCCTCGATGAATTGTAACTTGTCCATGTCGAAGTTGGCTGGACGCGGTGGGGTCACCAGTATGTCACCAGGCACATTGTAGACATTACGATCCATGCATAGATGCGAGGTCTTACGTCGCTCGATGTCAAAGGTTCGAGCAAACCGTTCCTTCATGATGATCTCCAGTCCTTCTCTCAGAAAGCATGCCTCCTCGAAATGCTCGTGCTCGAATACATTCTTGATTTCAGCGCTCAAATAGCGTGTGGCTTTAGAAACACCTTGAATGTTATGCCCAAAAACATAAAGAATGCATTCTTGGGCGAGTTCTTTGCATATTGAGCCGTTTTCAACGGCTTTTACGAAGCCATGAATTACAGAAAGCGGAGTGTGGAGATCCGTCGAAGGCGATGGAGTTCCTGACTGCATAATAGCGCTCATCTTTCTTTAAAAGTCACAAAATATATAGTTTCTTGTTTTGAAGACAAGCTGACCGATTTTTCTTCTTACAATTTTCTCAGTGAAAACTGATGTTTCCTGTCTGGGGAACCCCAAAATAATTTGAATTTGTATCATTTTGTTAAATCCCAGCCATGAGATGATGATGATGATGGCTTTAGCCGGGATATTTATTCCGGCTGTCTACTTCAGGTTACACCTGCGTGCTATATGTCCCCGGTCACAAATAATTCTGAGTGCAAACAAAAAAGAAAAACTGGCGGGGCCAGCCGAAGATCGTGGACAGTCGAGCCGTCTGAAATATGACTAGAAAATATGCTCCATTAATAAATATAATGTGGATAAAAAAAACAAAAACAAAACAAGAAAAAAACAGCACGACATGCAGCCAGTCTACGACTGGGTGTGACTTTTGTGACAATCGAATGAGCTACGTCTAGGTGTTATTAATGACTTTGGCTTTTAAAATTAGACGGATTCTAACCCTTTGAAATATTAATAAACCACTTTAATGGTTTAAAACAATGGTCATTAAAAGCAAACTATTTTGTACTTATATTTATTTCTAATTTCAAGAATCAATCATGTCATTTCATTTTATTAAACTTCTTGTGAACCAAACAAAATAGAACAAAATACTCTTAGTTCCTGTATCGCAAAAACAAAACAGCAAATGGAATTCCTCCTTCAATAGCCAACAACATTTAATGACAAAGGCATATACTCGTATGTTTAATAAATTTATTGCCACATATTTTAATGTCACTCCGCCAAAATCTCTATCCAAAGACCAGGGAAAATATTTAATTCAACTGTGTGTCTATGCCTGTGCATGCGGTGGGGCAATTAAATCGCCCACATCCACATCCACCTCCACGCCCACCGCCCACCGCCCACTTCCCACCGCCCCTCGGAATCCGCCGTGCAGCCACACATACGCACTTGGCCATATAGACATATAGGAATATAAGACATATAGACGCAGACGCGATCATTGCCCATCGGGCGGAGAAGACGCCATCCCCATTGCTATTCCGGCGTCGTGCGTCGAAGAATTTAAACGTTGACCTCGCGGAAATAAAAAAGAAAATTAGGAAAACATAAATTTTGAGGGAAAAACGCTGGCCAAATGTATGCGGTGTTGGGAAAATAAATGATGAAAATGTCATTAAAAAGTCGCGAGGCAACCAAGGCAACCACTAGCCACATAAAAAACTCATACGCAAACGCAAAAAACCTTAAGTACAGTCAAACTTCGCCAGCTTTATAATTTTATAAAACTAGGACTACTTATCATTGGATAAATATTTTAATCGGGTGTAGTTGTATGAACAACTTAAAATATTTATTTAATTTTGCGTAAATACATGGTCGCCAGTGGTATTATAATATATCAAAATAATTGCCAATTCAGAATTTAATGGATTTGAGTTAAATTATATTCTTTTTGAATTCTCAAATTAATAGTCAAATAATTATTCAGCTTAAATGGAAATTTATTGTTAGTGATTTTAAACACAATAAAACATTTCTAGTAAGCTTTTATTGGTTTTATTTAAATTCTCTAGACATAGATAATGTATTTTAACAATAAATAACAATACGAAGTAAAGGCTTGCTAAACTGACACTATTATATTTAAGAATGTAATTGAATAGGTTAAAGGGCATATCTGCATATCAGATAGTAGTTAACATAACAGAGGTTCTACTGTATATTGTATACATTGTCATCCTTGCTTGAAGTGGCCCCAGAGGTTTTAGTTCCCAGCGCTGCTGTTGTTGTTGCTTAGTCGCGAGTTCAAAGGACTTGCATAGGAAATGACCAAAGACCAGGCCAGAACGAACTTCACCCTCTTGATGGGACACGAGGCCTACGACGAAGGACGAAGGGTTTGTTGGCTCGAGACACGCAACTTTAGGGCTCAGCGATTTGTTGCCGGGCAGCCGAATCGGGTTTATTAACCCCACAAGGCGCATTTCCACCTGCCCCGGTCGCGGGTCCTTCTGCATTTCTGTCCCTGCAATCCCTTTTGGCATTCCTACTCGTACTTCACGCTCGCTTAAGTGCTGACCCAAATCCAGGACGAGGGTTGCTCGGGACTGGAGGGCGTTACCCTGGTTTACACCTGATCCCGCTGATAGCGAACCCGGCTATAAATTAAATTCATGTTACGTAAATGGTTTTGGTTATTTAATTTGATTGCAGCCCTAATTGTGCGTTTCTTGACAAAGCGTTACATCGGGGAGTACGATCATCAGACTGAGAATCGCTACAAGCACGAGGCGATGGTGGATGGCGAGCCGGTGCTCTTTGAAATCCTCGACACATGTCCCAAGGTGGGTAAAGCCATTCGATTACTAAAAGATAAATTCGTTTAAAATTGTAATATATTTCTTTTCCCAGGCCGAAGACGAATACCCAAATGCAGCTGAGCTTGTGCAATGGGCCGATGGCCTACTGCTAGTCTACTCCATAACAGATCGCAAAAGCTTCAACTATATACGCCGTGCCAAATCCGATCTTCAGTCAGATACTCCCGTCCAACTCTGCGCCAACAAGGTGGATATGGTGCACTTGCGCCAGGTGAGCCGCGATGAGGGCGAAATCCTGGCCAAGGACTTCGAGTGCAAGTTCAGCGAGGTCTCCGCCGCCGACCATGTGGACCAAGTGGCCGAGGTCTTCAACGAGCTGTGCAAGGAGGTGCTGGCCTCCAAGCGCAAGTCCAAGCAGAGTCTGCTCGAAAGGATGCTCGGCGGAGCTCGTCCTTACAGCCGAGGGAAGAGCGACAGCAATTTGCCAAAAGACTGATAGCGGTGATGGAATTTTAATGTAAATAAATGTAAATTGTTTTCTAAAATCGAACGGGATTGTTTTCAGCTTTTCTTTTTAACTAATTTTCTAAGAAAAGTAACAGGCCACTTTTGGTGATGTCTTATTTTGAAATAATTTTTGCTTAGCTAGAAAATAAATATGTACAGCTTGACATGCTTCATAAAAATACATTTAATATATCTATTATACATAATTCCTATATAGCTATTGCGGATATAAATGTTTATTAATTAAAATATTTGTTTTAATGCTTTTTAAAAATAAGGGAATGCGTGCCGCAACATTTAGCTTTTGTCAGAACTTAACAACTTTTAAAGCTTTTACATTAAGCATTTGGTTTGGTTTCTGGCTACTCTTACAAAGCTTTACGGGATTTACTGCGGAATAGAGGGCGAACACTCTTTCTGGGCGCCGTTTTTAAATGTTGTTCTTTTTATTGTCATTTTAAATGTTTAATTATAAACCTTCTGAGTCTAAAATACTTCGCGATGCAATGTATTCCCCAAATACATGCAAATCTTCTGCATCCCTGGCTTTGCAAATCATGACGGTTTGACCGAGGTGCTGATCAACGCCAAGGAGTTAAAGAAGCATTTTATCGGGATAATTGTTGGCACAGGCCGAGGGTTTTATTTTTATTTAAATTGCTTTTTAATTTTTATCAATCAATTTATAAAAAAGTCAGTATTTAAAACAAAACCATTAAGCTATTTTTAAACTTAATAATGGCTTCAAATATGTTTAAAGAGAAGACATCGACTTAAAACTTTAATTTTCGTAATAAATACCTAGACTTTAATTGAACAATCAAAAACCCACTATTAAAGAAGAATGTGTCAGATCACAAGGCAGGTGATTCCCTGTTTCATCGCCGACCTTTGGCATCTTCCCCAGCTCTGGACAAACTTCCGCTTTGAGAGCTCGTGTGCAATACTTTTAATTAGCCAGAGTCAACAAGTGGTCCAGTGGAGCGTGTAAATCTACTTAAGACTTTCGGCTCCAGACTCTATATATCAGATGTTGAGATGGGACTAACGAACAGATCACTCCGGACATTGTTGACATTGCGTCAGCTCTCTTTTTGTGGGTAACCGACTGTTACCCGATCTGTTTACCCAGCTAAAACCATAATATTGACACCCATGAATGGCTACAATGATGCGCAGAATCAGGCCCAAATCAAGTCGATTTCAATTTCGATTTCGAACCAATCGCGTGCCGTTGCCAGTATGCAATCATTATCGCTCATACGCCCCGCTGTCCGGGCCAAGACGACCACCTGGCTTTAACATCAAAAGCCAGACAGGGCGGCTGCTTGGCAACCGCTAATGGGAAATTATATGCACGATTTTCTTGCAATTGTTTAACAACATTGACGGCTTTTGGCATGAAATCTCACAGGTTTTCTCCACCTACCTTTAATACTTATTATCTCCCCCCTTTTTCTGCAATTTTGCTTAATTAGTTTCACATTTAAAATTCTAATTTTAATTTATGATCGAAAGTGGTCTTGGTATCTCGGCCCTTAGCTACTGTTGCACCACTTATCTGGGCCAGGTGTCGTATTCCGAGTGGCTTGGACTATTTAGCAGTCGCGCAGCTGGCACCCGTGGAAGTAATTGTCTAGCCAATTGGTGCTGTAATAGATTTTAATTATGGGACCCGTGACATTACTTGTTCTGGAGGTAGCCTTTGCATGCCCCGGAGAAACCAGATGGAATATTCATTCTTAGCCACTAAACTATTTTCATAAATGGAATGTGTTTAAACCGGAATATATATTACAGTCTTCGGTTCTTTTAAAGCAGTAATTAAGATTGTGTATTATAGTTGTGCCTTCAAGAAGGCATTATAAATATTTGTCTTATATAAATGAATAGTTAATCTAAGATGGATTTTTGGTTTTTAAATAAACAAAATGCCAAAAATGATATAATATCATACTATCAACTGCGACTGGAAAACTTGTATAGTAGAATCTATACCCATCCAGCTCTTTAGAGCCTTTGATAAGAATATGAATTATATTTAAATGTTACCTGTATAAGTAACAGTTGTTCCAAATAATTAATCACCTTTTAAAAAATAAACCTTCGTTTTAAAGCGAGAGACCATCGAATAAGTTCTTATTTATATGCCTTTGGATTGTAGGATTTTGTTACTGTGTGTCACTATTCAGGGATACCCCATAAAAACATGGATAGCAAATAATTTCCAACGGGGAAAAATCTATTATTACGAATATTTAATCTAAAAATATCTCAGTTATTTATGGATGCATCTCTCACGCCCCTAAATATTCATAAGACCAGCTGTTGGAGCATGGACATGCAAATGAGGGGTTCTACGACCAGTCCTCCCAGCCCCTGGAAGCACTGCATCCCCGCGAGAACTGCGGGGTGGAAACCTGTTCATACTCTAATTAGCCCGAGAGCTATTGCGATTATAAATGCTCGATCATTTAAATTAGAACCGGCCAACAGGTGCGCCTCGGGCAAAAGCCCCGTGTAGTTGGCAGTGGGCTGGCTAACGGTTTGGCTGCAGATATTCACACCTCCAGCAGATATTCGGTTCCAGCTAAGTATGAGACTAGATTTAGTATCTCTGAAAAGTTCAAGACTCGCGTTTCGATTGCAATTAATTGGCACGAAATGGCGGCCAGAATGCCAAAGCCAAATGCAGAATTTGGCCATGCCAGCTGTAAGTCATTGACTTTGATATTCGATTAGCCAAAGCCAAATTTCAAATACCAACTGGTAATAGCAATAATAGCCATAGACATGTTCTAGTTAATTCCTTTGGCTACTGTCAAAGCCAAGCTCCAGCTAACCTTGGCTTTTGTATTTTGGGTTTTGTTCGTTGTGTTTTATGCGGCTTTAATTAGCCAAATTTGAAATGTTGCGGCGGCTGTAAATGAAACGTGTTTCGCTCTGAGCTCTGCGCACTGCCACTGCCACTGCCTTTATTCTTGTTTTTATTTTTATTTTCTTCTCGGCAGTGTAAAAAACTTAAACAATTAATGAAAAGTGTTTAATTGCAAAGTGCATTGGGCTTCCGGCAATTATCTCGCCGTAGTCGGTTCAACAAACCCGTGCCAGCCTCGCGTTTCCTGCAACCCTAACCCATTTGCTCAGTGGCCTTGACAGAAGACCATAAGAACCTTATGCGAATGGGCCTACCAGTCCGAACTGACCAGCGGCACGTAGTCCGCCGCTCTTGGCAATCGAATCAAGTGCAAATGTTTGCCCACGCCAAGCTCAACGCAAACTATTTGGCCAGCCTTTTAAACCTGACCCAAATCAGTCGGACAATTAGCCGATTACAACCCCAACAAACGCTAACTAATGTTGATAAATGCCCAACCTTAGCTCCAGCTGAACTTCGCTGCCTGTTCATATTTTGTAGTATCAAGTAATAGCCATAATGGAGATATATCAGCAATTGTCATTAACTATAGCATACCAAGTGTTAAGTGGGTATATCGAAGCAGGGGGTTAGTTAGACATAATAATTCATTATATAATTTTAAACTTTAAAGTCAAGTTGATAAATAAATTCAATACTTATTTCACGCCTAAGGGCTGTAAAATTATAACTGCTATTATTTAAAGAATTAATCTAAAATTGTTAATACAGAAAAGAAGATAGTAAAGATAGTTTCAGCGCACCAGTGAGAGACTATTATTATTGGCTTATATCATTGCTAATAAAATTCAAAAAATTCTAAAACTGTATTTTAGATAAAAAATAATTTTTAGCTAGCAAATATTAGATATATAACTTAAGCTCACGATCTAAATACAACTATAATACATGTGTATTCCTTTTGATCTCGTAAAATGACCTTCATGATTGCACACCTGCAAAAGATTCATTAAAATTGTAATTATAAATTAGCTAATAATCTCACATAAATTCAATGACTTTAACCCATGGGAATTCCCAAGACTTGGCTTATATATCAGGTTTAATCAAGTGGATAACTCCATTGAAGCATAAAGCTTTGAAAGAAGACAAAGTTGGAACAAATAACTCGTCGATTTTAACACCATAATTTTAAAAAATTAGTACTAACGCCCCTTTTTTTTTCTGCACACAATTACCAGATACCATTTATTATAATTTAAATCAAATTGACTTTATTAACTTAACGTGCCTTATAATGGCTATAACATTAGCATAAACATAAACTTTTTAAGTCAATAAAATTAGTATACTTTCAGAACACCTGCAAAAGATTCTAGGTATAAGAATCATGAGAAATAATTAGCTAATATATATCGCTTAAGGGAAATCCCAGGCCCTAGTTCATTTATAAGCTCAGCCCATCCAGATGATCGGCACACCTGCGAGGGCATTTTCACTTCGATACATCTGTCCCTTACCGTTCTGATTTTATATTAATATCATTATAATTGGACAACAACGTGGGCGTTCCCACGAGTCCACTCCATATCGCCTACATCCGATCAGCAGTTGCTAATTGTCGCAGTTGCTGTGCCGCCGCTTTTCGAAGCTATTAGCACATTCAATTCCAATTCCAATTCACACAGCCAATTATTATATCACAATAAACTCGTACTCGTACACATATTGTAATTGGCGTATGATAAATCCGCTCAGGTGTTATTTATTTATCGGATTTTTTCCTTTCCAAGATTGATATGCTGAGGTAGGTCATGATTTTAAGCAGCTGAAACAGCTGTCGTTTATGATAATGAGATCAAAAAAACCTATTTAAATAAATACTTTACATTTATCAAAATCGCGGACACCGAAAATCCCACATATAAAATAATAGTTAGGAAAGAAAAGTTCTACTGTAGTAATTATAGCATGCTCGTGTGTAATTAAGATTAATTACTAGAACTCGCTAATTAAAATAAATTGGCATAGGTTGAGAATAGAATTAAATAATTCCATCAGAGGCCCCTTTCCAATTGTTAATCATGACTACAGGATCTCTGGCAAGTCAAGGTGTGCAAAAAAACCAAACCATTGTCAGTTGCTGGAGGCGTTGTTAAGTGCCACAGCCCCTCCCAGAAATTTAGTTCCTTTTCAAGTTTAAACGGTTTTAACTTTATTTATATAATAGCGAATAAACACACATATAGAGAAAGAGAGACATATATGTTATATTTCTTATATCTGCACGATTTGCGCACTACTCATGTATTAATATTTTCATGTATTGTTTTTTTTCAGAACCAATAAAGCCTGGCTTGGGGACCAACTGCGCTTTAACTTGTATATATATTTTTATGCGAATATAATTAGTTATAGTTTGGCTAATTGCTTGCTGAAATGTTAACACTTGGTTGGCTTTCGATCCAATTGCAACTACATCGAACAATAACAATAAAATTCCACGCTACGTTAACTTTAAATATGTAATATTCTTGATCCCATTCTTGAATCCACTTTAAAACGTTTGGATATTAATTACTTTATAATGGTATATATTTTGGTCCAAGGGTTTTTTGATTTCTCGATAGATTTAAGTATGTTAAGTTAATTTGTATATAGCTCAATTTGTTCACTTTTCTTATTTCGTTCTCTTGTTCTTACCCATAAATATATCTTTAAAATTCACAAATTCAATCCCTTACTTTCTTTTCATCATTGCTTTTATTATAATAATAATATTAATATTTCAAACAAATTTTCCCTTTTCATGTCGTAAAATGTTCCCTAAACAGAATCAGACTTTAGAGTTCCTAATTTCCAAAGAATATAATTAAATGAAGAAACCAAAGAGTAATTATTTTTCAATTGCATTTTTAATTTTATTAATACACAAAACTTAAATAAAATAATAATGTTTAAACTCTACATACCTACAATACAATACGTAATAGTCATAAGCATAATAATAGATAATAATAATAATAATAGTACACAATAGTAATATTGTCGTTTACAGTTATTGTACAATGTAAGAAAATTCTATTTTGTATTCCGTTTCATTTTGATCTTTTCCATTTTGTTCGTTTGCTTGAAGTTGTTTATTTTTTTTTTTTTTGGATTTTACTTTTGAAATACTCTCTCCGATTGAAGTTTAAATACCGGGTATACTATATCGCGTGTCTATATAGTCTAGGTAAATATTGTGAGAGACAAAAAGAAGATAATAATAATACAAAAACATTTTGTGTCTGAGTATACAAGCGGTTTTGTGTGGTACTTTGCCTACTAAGTGCGGATGTATATGAACTTTGCTTTCCCAGCTCTTCACTTCACTTAATTCGCTTTGCTTGGCTTTGTTTTCACATCACTTAAACGTCTAACGATTTTTTGGTCCAATAATAGTTGCGGTGATAAATATGCGGGTCGGGTGTATTGGGTGATTAACAAATAAATATGCTTTTACCATGTGCGCGATTTGACAAATAGAACTTCAGATGACAATAAAATTAAACAGAAAACAATAAACAAAAAAATAAAAATAATGCGCGATGCCTTAATTTTGTTTTAAGGATTACGTGTACGAGGGATTGTGCGGTATGTCAATTTAAAATTAATTTGTATAAATGAGACCGTTGCACCTGTATATGAGTGGGGGGTGTGGGGTGTTTTGGACGTGGTTTTGGGTGCTTCTTCTATTCCCCCCTCCATTTAGAACGGGCGTCGCAGCTTGGAGATGGCGTTGGTCAGGTGCAAGATCTCCGTGTTCATCTGGTGCACCAGAGTCTCCAGCTTGTCCACGGAGTCCAAGACCTCGACGCGCTCGGTGTGCGGATTGAAGCGCACCTCGAAGGGACGCGACATGGTGCTGACCCAGCGACGGAACTTGTCCTTGGCATCCTCGAAGCTCTCGGCCACGTAGTAGATGGGCTGGTACTCCTGATCCTGGTAGGGCTGCACGGCGGTGGAGGCGGGCTCGAAGGCACGGTGCTCGCACTTGTCGCTTATGGCGTGCAACAGCTCGCCGTAGGAGCTCAGAAGTCCAGCACCATAAGCCTTGATCTGACCGTGTTCCTTGCAGAGACCGAACTCAACAGTGAACCAGTAGACCTGGAATTATAAATGGAAAAAATAGCCAATAAGTAACTAATGCTCGAAACAAAAGTAAAGGGAACAGATAGCTCAAGATCAAGGTGTTCGGTGTTTTGGCAAAAATAATTTAAATTGAATTTCGTATTTAATAATAAAAAGGTTAAAATGTGACTATATTTCTCTTTAATAAATAACCAAAATGTTTAAAAAAAATCTATAAAAATGCACTGTTCAAGACCCAGTTTTTTTCGGTATAAAAAATCATTGAATCGGACTTTTTCTGTGTGACTTTGACAGTGACTAAACAACGATCTTGGCTGTGAACAAAAACCAGCTTCGTCATAGCTGCACTCGGGGCTAAGGTCGTTATTGCAACTCAATTAAAAACTCACCGTGGACAGCTTCTCGATTTCTTCGTCGGAGGCACCCAGCGAGGCCAGTCCAATCTCCTGCGAGAACTGGGCGAAGCTGGGATCGGCCAGCAGCGGCATGTGACCCAGCAGCTCGTGAATGGAATCGCTGTAATGGCAGAGAATAGTGCTTGTTAAAAGTGTGGAAAATGTGCTCCGCATAAAGCAATTAGCCTGGGTAAATGAGCTGGGCAGCCTGCCGCAGTTCCTGCAGCCAATTTGCCTGGGCTCCAGGAAAAGTTTCCTCGCTTCCTCGCAGAAGCGGAAAAGCGGAAAAGGAAACGCCGCCACCCATTCACACACAGGCAGGCAAATGCAATTAGGTTAGGACAAAGAGCTTTCCCCCTTTTGAAGTGATTGTTACCCCCCAAACGAATGTATATATAGAAGGCGATGGGTACTTACGGTTCGGGGGTGTGGTAGGGCGAGTTGACGTGGCGCACGTACTGGGTGCTCTGGAAGATGCGGAAGGCCAGGGAGGCGAGGAAGTCCCGGGCGGTCAGGAGACCGGCGGCAGGACGCAGCGAGAAACCAGTGTTCTTGCGCAGGAAGTCGGACATCTCCTGCAGTTGGGGCAGACGGGTCTCGACGAAGATCTGCTCGTCCTGGAGCATCTGGAAGGCCGAACGGTACTCGGCACAGGCGTGCTTGGGGGCCAGATCCTGGACGGTCTTGAAGACCGAGCGCCAGGTCTTGACCTCCACATCGGAGTACTCAATGTATGGGATCGGATCTCCGTACTTGTAGGCGAAGGCAATCTCGGCGATCTCCTTGCGGCGCTGGCGGTAAACCTTGTCGGCGAATCCGGGGTGGTTCATGTCCAAATCGGGCTCATACTTGGTCATCAGATGGTTGCAGTTGTCCAGCTCGGAGGCGTGCTTGGGGAACCAGGGGGCCTTCACGTTCAGGTTGTTGTCGGCCATCAGGTTCATGCTGCTGAAGGAGCCCGACTGCCTCAGGGAACGGATCAGCTGCAGCAGGTTGCCGCGGGTCATGTCCAACTTGATCAGGACATCGTGATCCACGCCCTCGACACGCGACTGCCGGGACTCCACGTGCTGGACGGCGCCGTGGAAGGTCTCGATGGCCTTGAGGATCCGGCCCAAAGAGGAGATGCCCTCCTTGAGGCGCACCACCAAGGCGGCGCTCTGCATGGCAGCCTCCGCCTCCGGGGACTCCGAAGCGGCATTGGCCAACAAAATCTCGTCCTCGGTGAGACCGTAATCTGCAAAAGGGGAGGGAAAAGGAAAAAATATGGTAAAGATGCAATCATCTAAGGCTTTGGGTCACGTAAGCGATAAGCGGGCTACGTGGCGACGGTGGCACTGGTTGCCAGGCAAACGCATTTCACATTGCCTCTATTAAGTCGAGCGTAACAAATGAAAAAGGGAAATGCGACATTTCAACGGCTCCCACTCAATTGTCCGTGTGGCTGGCTGTGTGTTGAGTGCTTTTCCTCTGCCCCGGCACTTTATCATATTAAGCACTTAAATCAATGTCGCACGCTTTTCAAAAGCCCCTCAGAAGTTAAGTACTACTTATGGTGGTAGAGTAGACGAAGACCCCCTGCTCACCGTTCTTGGTCGGCTGCTGGCGTTCGCCTTCTGGCTCCTGCGACTGCTCGGGCTCGGCGGTCTCAAACTCAACATCCTCCTCAACTAAAAACGAATGAAATAAAAATAATAAAACCCATGAAAATCATAATCAAAATCAAATCAAAGATAATAAGCTTGGAAACGGGGAGGCAGACAAAAGGAATAAAGCAAAAGGCATTGATATTAACCTGCAACATATTCGTTCTCCAAGGGAAGGTTCTCCAGATTGGCTTGCTCGTCCTGCAGCTCCACATTCTGCTCGGCAGGAATGTGCTCCTGAGCTTGCAGAATGCACTCCTCCAGAGAATCATCTTTGTAATTCAAATAAAAATAAAAGGAAATAATAAATAAAATGAAGGGATAAATAATAAACTAAAAGCTAAGAAACCATGAAAGATCAAATTTAAATTAAACAGCATTTAAAATATGAAAGAATAAGGATAAACAAGCCGAATTTAAGGCCCCAATTTAAGTTACTTTAAGTTTTTTTAGACTACCACTTGTTGAATTTCCAAAGACAGATTTAAGCTACTTTACTGGATATTTGTTCCACCCACTTGTTGAATTTTTGAGACTTACCATTTGCCTTGTTGCGCGCCTCCTCGAGGACGGTTTGTTTGGTCTGCTTGACCACCAGGGTCTCGAAACGGGCATCGTCCACCAGGCTGCGGCGGCGGGATGGATACCCATTCTGGAAAGGACAGAGATGAATCCGTGTTAGTGACACTGGCAGGATATGCAGCGGAAATTGGACGGTCGCCTTGACCTTCAGGCCTGGGTGGCTTTTTCTCCACGCTTGGGTGGTGCTGCTAAGCAGACTATTGCGCAATTTTTGAAACTTATATAAAATGGCTGTGAAAGCGTTATTTTCAGATCTTTTCTTTGGCTTTCTTGAATAGACCTCGCTATTCATAGACCTCGCTCCATTGATTGTGATTCAAAGCCCCAAATGGTAATTTAATGCGATGTCACCGATTCAAAGCCGGGAAGGTGCGAAGATAACTGATATTTTTGGTTTGTGTGTGGCTGAAAGCCATCGAAAATCCCCATGCGATTCTGGGGGGAAAAAATGCAACTGTCAACCGTTAAAGGTTTTTTTTCATTTTTTGGGGGAAAAAAGGTTTCCATCAGTTGCAGTTTTCACTGTCATCTTGTTTTTGTTTGTTTTCGGTGGGATTTTTCGGTTTTTTTCTTGGTTTTTTGGGCCACCGCTTTGGCTGATGAAAGATGCCCAACTCATTGAATCATTTTTATTGATTTCATATTTTGTTTTGGTCAGCCGCAGCATAAACATAAACAGAGACGAGTCAACAATGAGGCGCGACTGTTTCGACCAGGCTAAGTGCAGGGGCATAAAGGCAGCCACTTTCACTTATTTGTTAAATAATAACTTAACAAACGACTCGTTGTGCCCGATGGCGATTGGGCCTTTCGATTTGGGCCGCCTGTTCTAGAGGTGTGACTTATTGGCCAACTGAATTGGCCACCTGAATTTGCGAAAAGAAATGCGGGATCACCAAATGGGCCGACTGCCCGGCTAACTGGTTTCGATTACGATTTCAGTTTTGGTTTGTTTTTCAAAACACAAAACCTTT